GTACTTTCTGTGTACATAGTAATTTTATCTGTTCCGTGTGATCATTCAGCGTGCAAATACAATTTCCATCCCAACTTTTGTGCTATTTACCTGAACCGTGAGTTTAACATGACTTTCGGTCTTTTGACACCATGCACTATTCATAAAGTAGGTTCGCATTGGTGTACGAAAAGTGCACATTGTATAAGCCGCAACCAAACGTGTCTCCATGTTTTGCGTTTTCTTATTTACATGTATGCTGAACATTTCAGGTTTATCCTGGAAATAATGTTGGAATGGGCAAGGATCACACCCTCTTTTCCTTGATTGATGGACTTGTCAAATTTGAGAAATATGGACCGGACAGGAAAAAGGTCAGAGTCACTAGTTACTGGATCTAGTTGGGTTTCAGCAGAATACCCGATATATGAATATGCTGTTATTTTCTTTTACAGGTAAGCGTCTACCCATATGAGAAACAGCCTGAGAACCCAAACAGTTACAGAGCAAGGAAGAGAGAGAACTTCCGCTTGCAGCGCGAACGCTTGAAGGCCAGAGCAGAGGGAACTTATGAACCAGAATTGGTGTTGGCAGCTGCAGATGCAAGTGTTGAGGTCAATGCAGACTGCTGATAGGTTTACTGCAATGTATTTCTCTTTTTACAAAATCCATGCTTGACAAATCTTTCTCAAATGTAAATCATCAACTGCAAGATGAATGCAAGTTCAGCACTCCAGCTTCATTTTAAATTTTAGCTGTGTCCTGTCTATATTGTGTTTTCGGGATATTACACTTCCGGGAACAGGTAGGCCAACTTCCCACAAACTCCACGTAATATTGTGATGGTGCCAATGAATCCAAACAATCATTACTGGGATGTGTTATCTGGTTCAGGTCGTATTAGCAGCGACTTTCCAGAGGCTCCCTTTGCAGAAAAGTTTCTTTTGGTGTGTAGGGATCTAAACGGTTTTAGTCTAGTTGGTGCATGCAAGACAGCCAGATTCCCTGCATTTATGTCTATTATGGCTACCTTGAGAAACATAAATTTCTGATAAAGTAAATTGATTTGTCAATATTTAGAGATGGTAACATTACATTTGGTGAAAACAAAAAGGCAAAAATAGTAGTAGCAGGCACTAGTTCTGCTAAGTATTAGAGAGAAAACAAGGAAGTTTAGGTTTTGTTTTATGGAACCTTATGGATTAGGTGCTAATTATCTATCCAACAAAGAAATATAGTAAGGGTGCATTTCTTTAGTATTTTGGCCTCCCTTTTGTGTCTCATAGGGCAGCAAATACGCCACACACCTAATTATTAGAGATAAAACAAGGAAGTTTAGGTTTTGTTTTATGGAACCTTATGGATTAGGTGCTGATTATCTGCCCAACAAGAAATATAGAAAGGGGCATTTCTATAGTATTTTGGCCCCTCTTTTGTGTCTCATGGTTTAGTCTATCAGCCATGCTCAAGCAAAGCATGGAGGGGCATGATAGAGCTCAGGTGGGCTTTTTGTCAAATAAAATTGGCCTACCAAAGGGTAGATGGGACCCTTTTGTTGCCTTCTCGACTCTAAGGCCACAAGTCTTTCAAAGAAACAACACAAAGAAAAGGAAAGGGCAATGGAATCAAGAAGCATGATCCTTGTTTACTCTCTCTTCTCTGTGCCATCCTATAACCCAGGAGCTAGCAGCAATGGTGAACGATGGTGCCAAGACAAGCATTATTGAGAGCCCACCATGTTATTCGACAAGCTTTGTGCAAGTTGGATGATGGAGAGGGACACAAAGTATGTCAATTACTGGATCTTTTTGCTCTTTCAGTGTCCCCATATGCTCCTTGCGTGTGGAATCTTGAAAAGGAATCAGTATTGGCATTGCATGGTACCAATAAGTCTAAAATCATGTGTCGTGGTCTCTTTTGACACCCAAAGATTACCATGCTGACAGGGCCTATTAACACAGCATTGGTAGCCATCTAACACAGTTTAAGTCAGTCTGTTTTCCCAGTTACGTATGCCGACGATGATGATGCAACTTGCAGGATAAAATACTGCTTCATTACCCCTCACCCTTGGTAACAAAGTTCATTAAAGTAATGCAACATTATGATCTGTCACCATACATTGGGTCAATAACCTTAGGAGACCAATAATTAGATGTGTTAAGCATGTGCAGTGTCTGAAATGGCTGTACTGCAGATTCACCAAGCACTTGGTGCCATCTCTTTATTCTCTTGTCACATTTCTAGGACCTTTCAAATGTTCCTTTCATGATGGTTGATTTCTAAAATGCATATCCATCAGTGATTTTGCGTGATCTACTTTGTTGAGTGGAATATTACTGAGATCTAATGTATTATCCATATATATTTTCCTCATAAATATCAGAATTGACCTGGCAAGCTTGAGTTTTTCTACTATGATCTGTAAACCAAATTCACGAAAATGGTCGTTTGTTCACAGTGTAGAAGACAGTGTTAACCTGTTAGATGCAGCTTTATTAAATTAATTTCAGTCATTTCTTGCTGACAATAATACGTAGTGTGCATAAAAACTAACACCCATACATATTTTTTGCAAGAATCCCATTTGCATAATTCCATTTGTTTGCTGTATAGAGCTGCTTAACACTGGATTTTAGTGCAAAACTACAAATAAGGAATGAGATGAAAAATTCCTTCATGTGCCCCTTTCTATTTTGTCGTAACTACATAAGTCCCCCTAGATAATGTATATAACAAAGTGTAGATACGGGCTTGCAGCCTTGCACCAATAGCTAAAGCACTTGAAGAATCGTCTGTTAGGTGCAGATCCTGCGTACCAAGCTCGTGAGATCTCAAGGATCTTCTAATTGGGGAATGGAACTTCTCTGCATTGTTGAAAGAGCCTTGTTCATCTAAAGAGAGCGGGCAAAGCTAATAATCAAGAAAGCACTTCCAACCTTCACCCCATGAATGGACTTTAAGAGAGAACTTTGTGTTCCAGGGTAGGAGAGCACCAATGGAATCATCCAGCCATCACCCATGCAGCCATGCTTACCTCAAGTTCTTCCTTTTCACACAGACTCCACACTGCACACCACATAATAGTAAAGCTAAGATGGATCCACCAACTGCTAATAATAATCTTTTGTCAAGCATTGTGCTCCTTTTATCTGCTCAATTATGAGCCTAAAGCGCATTTTGCTGGTGTGGAGGCCATAATTCCAGAGCCATTCCTGTCTTGCAATGCATGCCATATTGCCATGGCAGGCAAATTGCAGGGACAAAGAAACACCTTTGTGGTGTCTACTTGGTGGCTTGCCCAATGCCCAAGAGTCAAGACTGATCAGTTACACACTGGCACACTTGCACTCAATTAACAGGCACTTCACCAGTCTTGTTAAAGAGAGAAGCTGGATAATGGGCACTACTGCTCTGCACTAGTGTTTGTTGGACTGGGCTGAAGTGAGCCTAACCCCATCTTTCCTTAGCCATCAAGTCTTCGGTTATTTGACGCAAGCGGTACTTGCAACTTGCAGACGGTTTTGGTATAAGACGACAAGTTTGTGTTGGATGTTCCGTGTTCTAACGATGCAACGGTCATAGATAGAAGACATCCTTTCTATGAAATTAGGAGAGTATACGGTTCTTAATCCTCACCTCCTCAGTTTACCTTTGATTTGATGATATAGAAACACAAGATCTCAGGATCTAACTTGAACCCCCGTGTTGCATTAGTTTACTAGAGGAAAACATGGAACATGGTTACTGAAAGGCTACTATGTGGTTCAGATGGTCCTGGTGCAAACATATTCTGGTAGAAACTTTTTAGCGTGGTAGACTGTTGTGTATTAATCTTGGCTTCTTGCTTAACCGGTCTTTTGCTTCTTTAGGCCACCAGTTAATTGAAAGCCATTGCCCTTTTATCACATGATGATCCCTTTCGGGCAGAGTTTATTACGCAACTTGGTACTATTTCTGCGACTCGGTACGATCGTCTGCTTTCATAGCAAATTCACTAAAGTTTCTAATTACCAACTTGCTGGGTTTGAGTTCCAGACTGGAAGTACAGTTGAGCACTTGGTCATGGCAACTTGACCTCCTGACACAAGGACCTCTTCTAGAGAATCCAAACCAACAACTTCATGTGCACTTGCACCAACTGTACCACCAGGCAGGGTCTAGTTTCTAGAATGCATACCACATGAGCAGAAAGTTTCAGCAACTCTTGCCACTATTTGTTCTGAAGGTGAATCATCCATCCTCTACCATGAGTCCATAACTGCCAGAGAGGTCATACTTGCCAACTATTGGTCCATGACATAGCTGTGGCCTGTGAAGCTTATCCATGTCCATTTAATTGATTAATTCTACATGTTTTGTCACAGCTTGTTACTGTAGATCATCTGCAGTGAGCTAGAGCCAGAATCCATGGAGTTTTGGAGGCATCCAAGTTGTATAAATCCAGGTCACCAAAAGTCCAAGGATCAGGATCATGAGAGAGCAAAGGGGGCCCAAAGCAGAGCAAGGGAGGGAAAGGAAAAGAGAGGGAAGAGAAGGCAGACAGCCACCATAGAGCAGAGCCGTGCTATACACACGACAAATTCAGACGACTCATGCACGATAAACTAAATCCAGCCGGACATGCGTGCATGCATCGGGACATCTGCCGCTCGATTTCCTTGTCGTGCATACATCGGCCACAAGGATCGTGCATGAATCAGTTTCGGCCACCATATATCTTTTCTGACAAGGAAATGCCCCCACCCACAACACACCAATTTCATTCATTTGTTTATGAAATCCCAAAGTGCAAAAGCATCATGCATCTCTACCACCAGTAGGATAGAGATCTGTGTCCCTGCATGGTTGGTTGGCCCCTCTCCTCTGCCTTTCCATGGCCAGCCTCCCTCTCAAGCACATATAAAACCCTCCACCACCCCGCCTCCCCCCTCATTGCGGCCATAGCTTCTTGAGCCTCATCAGGTCTCTTGTGTGCTGCCCATTGTAAGAGCTTGACTACTCAACTGCAGTCCAAAGAAATGGACCCCATTAGCATAGAGAAGATCAGGGCCATGAGGAAGTACAGGAGGAACAGGAAGCAGCAGCAGCTGCTGCTCCCTGCTCTCGCACCTTACCTGGTGGCCACCTGTGGCGTCCTCTGCCTGCTGCTCACCAGCCCTGCCTGGTTCCCCGGGGTGTGCTCGCTCCTCGTCTCCTTCCTCCTCACCACCCTCCCTGACCTGGCCACGGCCTTCCTGCTCAGCCCCAAGTGCCTCTTCGTCGTCGGCAACCTCATCGTCGCCTTCCTCATCGCCCAGTCTAGGCTAGCTCCGAAGAGCCAGCCCGCTTCCGTTGTGGATGTCGATGACGTCCACGAGGAGCATGTGAAGAGGAACGTCGCTCCGACTATCGCAAAGGCTGCGACGATGACCACGGTGATGTTCTCTGATCACAGTGCTTCGGTTGAAGCAGTTTGGGAGGGGGAGAAGGAGAAGGAGGAGGAGGAGGAGGAGGAGCAGGGAGAGGAGGAGCTGGAGAAGAGGGTGGACGACTTCATCGCTAGGGTGAAGAGGCAGAGGAAGCTCGAAGGCAAGAGCTTCTTCGACACCGATCGATAGGTGAAAATGCGGGCATGATCTGATTGCCCTTGGAGCTGGAAGATGCAACATGCAAGAGAAGATTACGTCCGAATTAAGGATATGTAATGCTTTGTGCTATCATGCTTGCTTAATTATGTCTTGTTATTAATTAGGGTCAGAGGTAAGAGGAAGAAGAAGAGGAGGAAGAAGAAGAACCGGTTCCAGTGTCTTCTCTTCTCACGTTGTAGCTGGTTAATTCTGGGTTGTAAGAATGCCCCGGGGATTAGGCGGAGAGGAGGAGAGACAAGGAATGTGTGTGTGATCTTTGAAAAAGTTGAGAGAAAAAGAAGTGATGCTTGCTGTCTTTCAGTTATCTTGCTTTGTGTCTAGCTGGTGGCATGATGCCATGATTATTCTAGTGCTTAGAGAATCTGATGGTCACAAAGCTGCCGGGATGACACGGTACGTACGCAAAAGCTCAGTGGCATGTATGAAGTGATCAAGTGTAAACTAGAGGTTGACACATGCATGCATGTACTTTCAGATCAGCTGCTGAATCGTCCGGTGACCGTTGAGAACACTGTACCCTTTCCGAGTAAATAATCTGGAAAAAAATAGTGATGGAAATAATAGTTCTATCTCATAGAATTAATCCTACCATAAAAAATTATATGCAAATTGAAGCACACGACACGAGAACAGGCAGTAGCCCAATGGTTGGCATCGCAGTGTTATGGCCAACAACCAGAGCTAGACTCCTGTGTGGAGTCAGTATCTGGAATTCTCGCTAAGGATGCATAAACAAATATTGATCACACCGATGTTTTTCTTAGAGAAAAGGATTTTTTTAAGGACAGTGATTACTGTCAACCGTGTGGATTGCAAAAAGTACCACACCCACCCCTTCCCTTCACACGATATATTTTTCTGGCTCCTCCCGATATATTTTTCCTCTGCACACGAGGTTGCGGGGTCTCCCCGTTTTTCTCGGCTGCTGCACACACACGGTCTCCCCGATTTTCTCGACTGCTGCACATGCACAATCAGCAGTTTAAAAATAGGCAAAAAAAATATGGCCTATAAACAAGGGGATTGAACCCACACCCTCCCATACTAAACGTTACCACATCAATCAACAAATATTGATCACACCGATGTTTTTTAGAGAAAAGGATTTTTTTTAAAGACAGTGATTACTGTCAACTGTGTGGATTGCAAAAAGTACCACAGCACCCCTTCCCTTCACACGATATATTTTTCTGGCTTCTCCCGATATATTTTTCCTCTGCACACGAGGTTGCGGGGTCTCCCCGATTTTCTCGGCTGCTGCACACACACGGTCTTCTCGATTTTCTCGGCTGCTGCACATGCACAATCAGCAGTTTAAAAATAGGCAAAAAAATATGGCCTATAAACAAGGGGATTGAACCCACACCCTCCCATACTAAACGTTACCACATCAACCAACTAGTCTAGCTCCCTTTCTCGATTTCACAAAACTTACATACGAATTGAATCTTCTTGAGACGACATTGCACAAAAAAAAACATTAATTGAAAAATCCAAAACAGCAGCCTTACTTGTCCAGTTTTTAGGACTGTGCGCCCCAGTTCCATCATTTTTCTTTTCACACGGTTCACATCCCATTCCCTCCTTTCAGATGCAAATTACCACATTGTTTCCGCGTAAGTTATCAACTATGTGGGTTGTATATTAACATGCTATTTACATAGAAATTACTAAGGGTTATTTTTTAACAACTTTTTTCTACCTTGGTCAAATTTAAGGCAGTATCGTACATAAGTTATCAGGTATGTGTTCGTATATTACTGTGCTATTTTCACACAAGTTACCAAGGGTATGTTTTTTAATATTTTTCCTTTTGGTCAAAGTTACCACGGTGTTTGTAAGTAAATTATCGGGTATGCGGTTCATTTATTCCCGTGTTATTTTCACATAAATTACCGGGGGTATATTTTGTTTTTCAATAACCTTTCCCCCCTTGGTCGAAGTTACCACTGTGTTTATACGTACATTATGGGGTATGCGGTTCAAACATTACAGTGTTATTTTCACATAAGTTTTTAGGGGTATGTTTTTCAAGAACTTTTCCAAATTTACCGCGGTATTTGTACCTAAGTTATCAGGATGTGGTTCGTATATTACCGTGCTATTTTTTAAAAAACTACCTAGAATATATTTCCAACAACTTCTTTCCCACAAAGTTATCGTGGTGTTTGTATGTATGTTAACGGGTATGCGGTTCATAAGTATGTTTTTCAACTTGTTCCTCTCCTTGGACAGAGTTACTGCGGTGCGTATATTGCCATGTTGTTTTTCTATAAGTTATCCAGGGTATGTTTTCGACAACTTTTTTCAACAAAAAAATTTACTCTTGTATGTTTCAACAAAAAACTTCCTCGGGTCAAAAATTACCGCAGTGTTCTGAATTTAAGTTATCATGCCTATGGTGTGTATATTACCATGCTATTTACACGTAAGTTATATGGGTATGTTTTTCAACAACATTGCTCCACCACTTGTCAAAGTTACCGTGTTATTTAAGATCATGCCTGCATTACGTAAATTATCATGTTCTTTATACTGAAGTTACGAGAGGCAAAAAAAGGTTTCCCAATCTTTTCTCCATGCACTAGACACTGAAGTTTCATGTCTATGGTGTGCTAAACTACCATGCTATTTAGGCAGGAGATATCGGAGTTATCGGTGTATTTTTTCCCCGAGTTGAAGTTAATAGGGCACGGGGTATGTAACTTACCAACCATGCGGTGCGTAAATTACCATGCTATTTTCGCGGGAATTACCAAGGTGTGTTCCACCAAATTTTATCTCCCGGTCAAAAGTTACTAGGCCCAGGTAACTTAGCAGCCCCTCTGGCCATCGTGTAAGAAAACTTATTGCAATATAATAGTTACAATAACTAGGGTGGAATGAGTTATCTATGGATCGATTCCATAAGTTTTGGGTCTTCTAAGATGTTGTTTTTTGATTCACCAGTTCCACAAATGTACAACTAGCTACATGGATTGATGAATCTTAGCACAAGCATGATGTAGCTGACCTGGTTTCTGCGATTAGAATTTCCCATTAACCAGGCTAGGTCCTGGTTCGATGCACCATGTCAGCATCATGAAGGACATGCCGGACGTGACCACACCCTAAATTCAGATAAAATCAATCAAAGACGATCAGTGACAAGCCATGTTTTGCATACTATAGCAAGCAATTCAGAAGCATGATAGTTGATTGGTTTCTTACGGAGTAGAGGAAAGTGAGGATCTGGAACTTGCTGGAGATGGTCCAGCTAGCTAGGTTGTACTGCACGCCGAGGCTGAAGACGGTAACCTGGAGGAAGCTGGAGGACACACTTATGTAGAATTGAGCACCATGGCGCCGTCGAGCAAGACGACCGTGCTGGCGAGCTTGGTGGCGCCGATGGCTGCCCTGAGATTGAGAGACACGGAGCAGGTGACTACGACGAGCATGAAGGAATGTTGGGGGATGGCCGTCCGGTGGCTTGAGAAGCCCCTGTTCATGCGGCTCCCCGCCATTTGATAACATAAAGAGAAATGTGGTTTATCAGGTCGAAACAATACAAGTTATCAGTCGAAACAATACAAGTTATTATGCCAACACATCATAAATTATCATGCTAAAATGAAGTTACCATGCAAAAAAATAGAATGAGTTAAACATGCTGACAAAGTGTGAGTCAAACATGGTGACACTTTAGTTATCAAGCTTGCATATTAAGTTATCAGGCTCAAATTGCATAATTTATCAGGTTGAAAGTAAAAAAAATTGTTGAAAGCAGATCGAATTAAAAATGTTGTCACGGTATAATTTGTCAGGCTAAAACAATATGAATTATCAATTAGAAATTGTTCAAGTTACCATGTTGAAAAATATAATGAGTTAAATAGGCTAACAAAGTGGTTTTTATCATATTGACACACTAAAATTTATTCAGGACGACATACTATAAATTATCAGGTTCAAGTTGCATAAGTCATCAAGTTGAAGTAGAACATGAGTGTTGAAACCTATTAGAGTTAAACATTTTGATACATCACAAGTTATCAGGCTGACATATTATCACTTATCAGGCTCAAGTTGCATAAGCTATCTTGATAAAGTAAAAGAAGTAAGTATTCAAAGCGGTTCGAGTTAGAATGCTGGTACGATATAATTTATCAAGCTAAATCAATATGAATTATCAGGTAGAAACAATTGAAGTTATTATGCTGAAAAATAAAGTGAGTTAAGCAGGTTAGCAAAGTGAGTGTTATCATGCTAACACGCTATAAGTGACCAAGATGACACAGTGTAAGTAATAAGGCCCCAGATGCATAAGGTTCATACTTTAGCCTTCCTCTAAACAAAATACTCCTCATGCCAACTGATCTAAAAGCCAATAACATAAGGAAACGTAAGTACCTGAATGGTCAGCCCAAGATCGATGGCGCCATCTTTGTGCCGCTCTCGGAAGGTCTCGGGGCCCTTTCATGATATGTAGCTGAACCAGTGCACGTCGACGTCGATCTCAAAGTATTTCGATCCCTACATCATAATAAGTACGTAGACATATGCACATGTTTCAATCTGGGGCGCACCAGGAATATCTGAATTTGAGCATGGTGATGGAGACATGAGGAAGCATGAATGGTTAGTATAGCTTGTAGAATTGTGCTGAGGTCTAGACAACACCGGCTTCTGGTTGTAGGTCTACACAAGCCTCCCCTCGGCTACACTAAGCTGCAGGTCTTGGGGTTCACAATGTCGGACAGAATTTTCAGCCTCTCTGTGTAGGGCATGTTGCTTTCCACCCGGAATCCCTTGACCTTCTCCATTTCCTCATTCATAACACTATGCATAACCAATTACTCATCAGAAACTTGTCCGAGGTGCTGAAAATGTTTAGTTGATGAAATGCAATCAATTTGGCTCACCTTGATGTTGTCCCTGAGCTGAGGAGAAATCGCCTTATCAAAGCTATTGGCTATCTTAAAATACGGGAC